TCAATATTTGAGCTAGCATCACTCCCAGCACCATCTTAATCATCCTCACCGGGCATCACAGAGACAAGAGTGGACTTCCTGAAGCAGTTGGCCAGTGGCTTCCTACTTGTGATGGGGGCCGTTTAGCCTTAATTGTGTTCCTCTAAGAAGAACACACCAGAAATTTGTCATTGTCACCTCTACAAAAATTTATATCAGCACAGTGAAAATCCCCAAACTGTTGCTTATTTCAAGAAGAAGAAGAAGCTGAAGAAACCCAGAAACCAGGAGGGTGAGATGTTCAACATCAAGAAAGACAGAGAGCAGACTTCAGAGCAGTGCAAGGTAGATCAGAAAGTGGTGGACTCAGATTTTAGCAAAAATCAAAGCTGTTCCTCAGCTCCGGGGCTACCTGCGATCCGTTTTTGCTGTGACAAATGGAATTTATCCTCATAAATCAGTGCTCTAAATTTCTTACTAAGAACCTAATTAAATAACTGATACATAAAAAAGAAAAGAAAAGAAAAGAAAAGAAAAGAAAAGAAAGAAAGAAAGAAAGAAAGAAAGAAAGAAAGAAAGAAAAAAAAGAGAAAACAAGCAAGCAAGCAAAGCAAAGTTAGATGGCTTTGGGTATAGAGATGATTTTGCGATGACACCGTCACAATCCATGAAGAAAAGCAATTAATAAGCTGGGCTTGTCATTACAATTAAAAACTTCTACAACAGTTCAGCAACATGAAAATAACCTGATTAAAAAATGAAACACCTGCAATCTCAGTACTCTAAGTGGCTGAGGCAGGAGAATCACAAATTCCAGCCAGCTCAGGCAACTTAACAACTTAGACGTAGTGAGTGGCAAAAAAAAAAAAGCTGCTGTTTACCAAGACCAGGCCAAGTTCTCTACCCCTCTGTATTTTAATCATTTGTTAAACAGACATAAAATTATCATACTCCATCAATTATAGGATACAAGCTTTTAATATTTTAGCATATCTGAAGTTAGGATATAATTTTTACTCTGTAGCATATTATGTTTTTATTGGTAGCATGTTTTTCTTCATTAACAAATGAAATAATGAATATTATAATCAGTGGTGTCAGAATTGATGAATTATGATAGTGTCTATCTTGTTAGGTCGTTGTAAGGATAAGTGAGGTTTTTTATGATTTTTTTGTTTTTGTGCAGGGTCTCACTGCAGCTCGGATTCGTGGTGATCCTCCTGATTTCTGCCACCCTAGTGCTGGGATTACAGGTGTGCATCACCACGCACAGACTGATTCCATCAACAGCTCAGAGTGCCTGGGGGCAAGGCTGGTGCAGCATGTGATGCCAGGGATCAAACCCTGCCCCCGCACTTACCTAAGCAAGCGCTTAGTCCACTGAGCTATACTGCCGACCCTAGGATAACTGAATTTTTAGTCTTCTTTTTGTTTTAAATATAAAGCCTGAATCTGGCACAAGATTATATTTAGTATGTGTCATCCATTATTATGGCTTGTGTCCAGATGTTCCCCCAAAAGCTCATGTGGGCATAGGTAGGGCTATTCAAAGGTGACTGGATCTAGAATGGGTGATGCAGGGATTGAGTAGGTGATGCTGGGATCAAGGCTGTGGGACCACCAAATCAGTCCACTCACTGAGTTGGCATAGATCTGGATATGGATAATGGGAAGTCATTGTTTGCTGCCTGCTGCTGCTGTTGCTTCTGTCTTCTGCCTGCCATGAACCATTTTTCTTCTGTGAGTCCCTCTGCCATGTCAACCTAACTTGAAACCACCCATATATGGACTGAAACTTCTACAACCTGTGAGCTTAAATACACCTTTCCTTCTTTAACTTTGGGTATTGCATATTTTGTCTAAGTAATGAGAAAAGTAACAAAGATAGCCATTATTATTTCTTACTATTCTCTGAAGTTGGGCTGGGGAGATAGCTCAAGGGCATAAGCGCCTGCCTGGGTAAGCCTAACGTCCTGAGTTCAATCCTCAGTACCACAAAAAAAACAAAAAACAAAAAAAAACCCTATTCTCTGAAGTTGCTAACGGAGCCCTAAAAATGTCTGTGGATAGTAGGTTTTTATACCAGCAGTGACCAGGTGACAGTTCAAACACATTGACATTAGGATGAGTTCACCAAGAACCCGGAGATCAGAAAAGGGTTGTATCTGGTGTCTTCAACAGAATGGAGCACACCTCTAGCATATCTTACCTGGCTTTGTAGTGGGCACTTGGAGTCCTTTCCCACTGTCCATGTCTTCCACACCTTGGGCTGAGATAGAGTAGGGCCTGCTGGCTTTGTTCTTAAATATGATCAAGATGGAGTCACCCACTTCAGCATGAATCATTGGACCTAAAGGCAAAACAAAGGACTGTGTGCACTAGTATTGCTCTCTCCAACACTGCTGTAATTTAAATGTAGCAGTATTCAGCATAATAAAACAAAGGCTAGCTTCTTCACTAACACACTACCTTTAGAGGGCAATATTGTGTGGTATTAAATACTGTGTAGTGTTTAGCAATAGAACCAACCCAGATTCAAATATTGCCACCTTCACTGATAAGAGACACCCTGCGTGAGTCATGTAATCTTAGTATCAATTTCCTTATCTGTAAGACAAGTTTAATAATACCTTTCATGGGGGGTTATAATAAGAATTAAATAAGACAGTGTATGTAAAAAGCTCATTTCAGTTCACTGAAGCATAACAAGTATTCAATACATGCTTAGCTTCTTACTAGTACTGAGAAATCACCTCTAAGAAAGGCCATATCCACATGAAGGGGCAGATGTGGATGTAATCTCCCTATATAAGTCAGTCTAAAATTGCTTATCTCTGGGAAATGGATATCATAATGTGAAGATCCAATGAAGTAAGGTATGTTAAAGAGATTTGAAATATAAAAGTGAAATAAAAACAACTGTGTATAGATTTGTGATCCACACAGCAATTTCACTAACAATGCACATCTAATGCTGCTTTTCAATATGTAGAAACACTGAGGAGACATGCGCCCTCCAGCCCTCATCTGTATACTTCTCTGTTGGGAGCAGGCAGCCTGCGTGCCCATGGAGACGTGCCCATACACTGCGGGGAAAGCCCCTGCCAGCGCGACTGCCCAACCGCCTCAGGCAAGCCAGGTGCCTCTCACCCTGCAGTGCTCATAAGTGCTCGCCCTGCCCCACCACAGTGTGCGAAATGCAGTGGCTTCCTGGTGTGTGGCTTCATGGTGAGTGGATTCCTGTTTTAGAGGCAACTCAGACCTAAATGCCTGAGGTTCTCTCTTGGCCTTATGGCAGATTCTACACTCACAGGGAGGTACACTCAGAGCCAGGGGTGTGGCAACACTGATCTGTTCCTCGCTGATTCCAGTGATAGTTTTGATTGTTTTTCTGAGAAATGCGCCACTAAAGGCATCAGTGAATGTAAAATTTGTTAGACTATTATCTTCAGAAAAAAAAATTCAGCATAATCAAAACATTTCCAAAAGAACTTTTTTCTATTTAAGTGAAAAGTTGCAACATAATTCCATATATGTTTTTAATAGTGAGGACAAAGTTAGATAGATGTATGTGTATGTATTAAATAATTATTTGTATATGCATTACCACTTAAATTGCACCTGTCTTGCTCCACTGCTAAGAACAAATGCCTTCTAATTTATAGAGTATCAGGACAAAGGGCCCAGTGGTGAACTGAGATGTCTGTTATGTGCCTTTTGAGCAATTCTAAGAGGCCACATCCCTCCTTAAGCTGCAAAAAATGAGTAGATGGCCTCAACTTCCATAGACAAGTGATAAAATCACTGAAGAGAAACAAGCCAAGCTCTTTGGAAGTACACTTGACCTCCTCAGCAGGGCCAGTACCTTTCCTTCAGAGATCTGTGAACATTTATGGCTCAGATGAATGGATGCTCTACTTCAGTTGGCTCCTTCGTTTGTTTTGAGAAATAAGTTCAAGTGCCAAAGTATAAAGGCTATAGAAGTGGGGGGAGGGTGGGTGGACCACTTAGTATATTATCAAGCTGGGAGTCAAAGCATCTTATCTGAATACTAAAAAGTACTACTGAGGGCCATACTGCTATATAGGTTACACTGTGCATTTAAAAGCAGAACAGAATTTCCAAAAGTCCTCTATATTTGCCCTCTGCTTTAAAATCTCAACTTCAAGATAGGTTCAGGCTTGGTAATTCCCCAGTGTGAAGAAGTAGGGAAGGAAAGCTAGAGCTTATGTGGTGGCCAGGCCAGGTGCCCACTTTAGACAGCAAAGGCTGCAGAGAGGTCCACTGAATCCTAGGAAGGTCATGGGTTGAGGCCGCCCTAACTGAAATCAGACCTGTTATCCCTCAGCACCTATCTCACATAAAGACATGCTCTTTTATCATAATTATGTTTATGATGTGTTAGTATGAAACTATGCATGAATAACCCAGGGCCTAAAAAGTCCTGATGTTCTGAGACATCAAAGCATTTCAAAGTAAAATTTCCTTGTTCCGTAGAGAAGTGGGGCAGAAGCCCAAGAGATTAGACACGGGTAGGCTTCCCTGTGTCTAACTGAATTCTTGTTTGTGTGTCGCCTCATATTCCTCTTCGCACATCACTGCCTGACAATGGCTGAGCGGGAAGACAGTACACCTGATGAATGCGATCATGCTGCTCTCCCACGCCTTGTCAGTCTTGCAGGACATTGTGTGTGGGTGTGTGTGGGGGTGGTGTGCATGTGTGTGCACGCACATGCTTCAGGCTAGCAGCACATGGCTAAAATCTGTGCAGTACCCAAGAGTGCTAAGTGCTCCTCTCGAGGCGGTCGAGCCTTGATCTCCACAAATTCTCCATTGGTGTACTCCCTGTAAACCACCTTCTTGTACTGAGAGCCAATCCAGTTTTCAGTGTGGTTCATAAATATATCTCCATGTCTGCAAACCAGAAATTAAGACTGTTAGAAGAAAGGAAGGCCTCAAGTACTTCTTAGTAACTGGGGGCTACACTGGCTGTGATCAGAATCATCTTAGGAAGCTGGCATTTTGCACCACTCTCTGCAGTGGGGCCAAGACTCAGCACTTTAAATCTCCTTAGATTCTCATAGGGGCAACACAGAGCAGCTGACAGCCCACCTTCTGAAACAACTGACCCCATGCACTGCTGGGGGCTGAATGGGTCCAGCCCCAGAACCTCTCACAGGGAACCCTTGAGGGTGAGCTTCTCTTCTTTGTGTAACCTCGCACACAGCACAGGCATGCACATTCAATTTCCTCTTCCATCCTGTGCTCCTCTAAGTTGCATATACATCATTCCATACCTTGTGCTTTACCTCTTTGAAAGATCTCAAGAAAGCTTACATTGTATTTTGTACTTGTATTCATACACAAATATAGGTACATTCTTGTTATTCATGGTTGCTACGTTCTAGAAAATGACCAAGAACACTGAATTATAAGCTTGCTGTACGTGTGCTCCTGTTTAAAGACACTTCATTGGGGCTGGTGAGATGGCTCAGTGGTCTAAAGCACCTACTTAGAACAAGCTTAGCAAAGCACAGGGACTGCGGTTCAATCCCCCAGCACCACATGCCAGCCAGCCTGCGCCCCCTGGTGGGCTGAGCTGGCCACACACAAATAAATAAATTAATTAATTAATTAAAAAAAAAAGATAAAAAAAAATAAAGACACTTCATTTTATATGAGTGATTCATTAACTGAATTCAGTCAACAGCACTATAACTACTGCTTCAATGAAGCTTTTCTAACACACATATTTTTACCCCCTAAGGCACCTCTCAGCTTTCTTGTGCTTATAAGTACTGGATAGTGCTTTAACACTACTCTTTTATTGGCCATTTTAAACAATGAAATCACCAAAAGAAAGCAGACAAATGCAAAAACCATGGCATTAAATAGATCTCCTATGACTTGTTTACAGCAGGAGATCTGAAATAAGAAAACAGAACGCTTTGACTTCAGCTGAGAATGTGTGCATCGGGCAGCTTACATTTTCCACAGCTCTACACATATCTTCAAGTGACCACAGAAGTGCTGTAAGAATTGGGAAGAGAAGGGAAAGGGCACGGGGGGGAGGAGACGGGAGGGATTTCATCTCCAAAATATGATCAATCTCATGTCCTTCCATTTGCTTCTATTAACTGCCTGTGTTAGAATCTGAGCTACCTGGACCACTTACCTTGTTTCCTAGAATTGTTCCTCAGCACTCTCCCAGCCACCTACACAATTCCCATCTGTCTGTCTTCTATACTGCAGGAAGAGTAGTCCTAACCTATAAGTTTGAGCAGTTTGCTCCTTAAGGGTTGTTTTTTGTTTTGTTTTTAATAAAGGTTTCACTGTGTAGTTCAGAGTGGCCTTGAATTTGCCATGTTGCCCAGGCTGGCCTTGAATTCATAATGATCTTCCTGCCTCAGGAAAACTTTTTATGACTTACCTCTGAGAGACTGCAGTGTGGCTCTCAAGACCCACCAGTCTGCCATTGCCAACTCCCCTGCCTCATCCCCATTAGTGGACCCCACCACACTGCATACTCTGCTCATGCTGAACCCCTGAACATAGTGTGCTTTCCCTCCCCTCCATGCCTTTCTTTACACACGCCTATCACTATGCCAAGAAATGCTTTCCCTCTCTTCAATGGATTACTTCTCGCCCCAGCTGCACCTCAGCTCCCTTTTCTCAGCCCCAGCCTCACATACAATCTGTTTTGACATCTTCCTCACAGACCATGAATTCAGGACAGAAAATGACCTCAGCTATCCTTTGTCATTCTGTGTCACCAGCACTTTGCATGGCACATAGCACACAGTTGGTATTCAATTAATGCATATATACCTTCTGTTCTACACTCAAAAAGGAAGTGAACTTTTCTTCTACTTTCATTTCCCATAAGTTCTAACAATGCTTGTGATGACCAGCACAGAGCCTGGAGCCAGGCTCTCGTGTCCAGCTTTCTTCCTGTATAAAGTTGGGCGATGACAATGCACCTCCAGAGTTGCCACAAGGAATTGTATGAGTTTATGCTGGTAAAGCACAGTGTCAGGTATATAAGCACTTTATCATCATCTCAAGCGGAGGTTATATGAGATTCTTAGCAAAAAAAACAATCGAACAGGTCAAATATGTATCACATGTGATTTGTAAAAGCCTTAGCAAAATGCCTGATGCATATATGTGCTAAATAGATGATGATTATTAAGA